TGACTACGACAACAGCGGCCGGGCTGCTCTCGCCGTGCTTCCACTCCATGCAGTCGATGCCGCACTTCTGCATCCGGTCTACTAGATCCTCAATGAGCGCTCGGTACAGCACCACGACCACCATCACCCCAGCGTCGTCTATGCAAGCCGGCACGCTAAACAGCAAGCTCTTGCCTCCACCAGTTGGCAGCACGACGACAAGCGGCGTCTGCCCATCAATTACTGCGTGCAGCGCCAGCTCCTGCTCTGCGGATTGAAACCCAACGTCCTGCTGACCAAGCACTTGCTGCATTGCCTTGCAGACTGCCTTCTCTTTCTTGTCTCTATGCAGCAACGCGGCTTCCCTGCCCTAATCATCCTTATTCCTGTCATCGTCATCACTGTTGATGCCACTGCGCCCACGTTTCTTCGCCCTCCTCATTGGATTGATGTTGCCTGTCCAAGTCCGCTGCGGCGCTGCCTGCTTCCCATCCAGCCCCAAGAAGCAGTGCCACATTGCGCTGAGCGGACGGAACGCTTCGATTGAGCGCACGCTGAGATGCTTGACAATGTTGATTGGCACGCTGTAGTTGCCCACTCTAATCACTGTCGTCCTTGCGTTCTGCAGCTCCATCACGTCCTCCCTATCCTCGTCTACCTCAGCCTCGTCCACCTCGCCAACCTTGTCTTGATAGCCCTTGCTGAACCGCTCGCCTACGACAACTCGACCGATGCTAACAGCCGCGTGCCGGTAGTCGAGCGTGTGCAGCGGCACTCCCAGCCTCTTGCCGGTCTCTCGCCTCAGCGCTCGCGTCAGTCGATCAGTCCCCCACGGGCCCTGCTTGTCCGCCCACACGTAGTCGCTGAAGCTGCCGCCGAGCACCTGCACGGTGAGATACTCACGGAATGGCTGCAAGTACGCCAAGTACAGCACCATCACCTGCCCTAGCCGCGGCGGCAAGAAGCGCGGCACCACCTTCGGCTTGTCCCACTGCGACTGCGACTTGTGATAGCGGACGACTGTCATCACCTGTCTGTCTATGACGAAGATGTTGTGGTCCTGCAGTAGCCTGTTGCGGTGCTGCATTGTCGTGATCTCTAACCCTCTGCCTGGCTGTCCAGACGTTGTGTGCACGCAGACTATTAGCAGCATCAAGAAGTGGTCCACGCAACGCAAGTATCGCTTGACATGCTTCACGTTCCACTGCCCTTCGCTTGACTGCAGTCTGTGGCCCTGCTTAGTCTGCTTAGCCTGCGTCAGCATCCACTCTAGCTTGTCCTAAAGACTATTGTTACAGTGCTGCACAAAAGACACGCCCTGCTGTTTAAACGTGACGTTGTTAATAAGTATATCTAGCTTAACAGCAAACTGCTCTTCTGCCCTTGTTACCTAGAATAGTTCCTCCTACAGCATCTGCTCTGCTTTAGACACCATGTCCTGCGCCATCTTGCAGAAGCGGCTGATGTAGATCCGCCGGCCGTACAAGTAGAAGATCTTCTTGTCCTTTGACTAGTACGCGTTGCCTGGGTTGCCAGCCGCCAGCGCGACGTACTTGCCATAAGCCAGCAAGCTGAGCGCCTCGCTCATCGGGCTGTACGAGCTGTCCAACAGATACTTCTCTCTGTGCTCCAAGAAGCGCTCACGATCCTTGTCAGTCTGCTCATCGCGGCACATAGATGGGAGCAACTTCTCCACGCTAAGCACGCGCATGCAGTAGAATACACCTGCTAGCATGTACAAGTAGTTCTTTGCCGTGCGCAAGTAGTTTGTGTTGCTGTTGATGCCCAGCACAGCGAGAAAGTGAATAAGTCTGCTGCTGAACGGCTTGTCACCTGTTGTTATGAAGAAGAATGATGTGAGCAAGTTTAGCAGCACTTTGAGCTGAGCGTCGCGCTAAGCGCTGCGCTGCGCTTCGTCATCAGCGTCAGCATCGCAGTCCAACATCTCCCACAGTGTTACTACAAGCTCCTTCTGCTTAACTGTCTAGTAGAACAGCTCTCGCGCGTCTTTTATCAAGTCCTTCTCTCTTTAGCTGCTGCTTAGGATGTTTGCTAGTTAGCTGCTGTCAGCATCAGAGAAGTTGTTGTTGTTGTTCTCTTCCTCTTCTTCCTCTTCCTCTTCCTCTCCTTCTAAGCCATCCTCGTCGCCCTCATCATCTTCGTCGCTGCCCTCGTTGCCGCCTTCCTGCGCCGCCATCCTTGCCTCTGCGTCAGCCACGAAGCGCAGAGCGTAGCAGACAAATTTGACCATGTAGCCAGCGTAGCAGGCCTAACTCTC